CCTATATCAAAATACACAGCTCCTCAATACACTCTAGCTACTTACGCTTTTTAAGGTATCCATCAACCATAACGTTTACTATTTTACTGGAATGTAGGATCAGGATAAAATTTGATCGGGGGTCATTGATGTGCTTCACTAATAAGAGCTAAAACTCAGGGTTTAAACGGTTCATTTAATTGTCTTCCAATATTCAAAACACCAACCTCCGAACGAAATGTACTCAGTAATTTTTTACGTGTGCTTGGATTAGGCAATGAGTGACACCTGTGTGAGGGCTAATAATACTACCTGGCTGACTAAACCTCAGTAGGTAGAACGGTGTTCGAACTCATGACCCACTGGCTGAGAGTCAACTGCTTGAGTCAAAGAGCGACAGCTCCATGAACCCCCAGAGGAAACAAATAATTTTCTCCTACTCATATGCGTTGTAGGAAATATTTAGCGATGAAAAAAGCTCTTTTTGTAAAACTTGAGTACAAATCACATGCATGATTAAATATACCTATTTAGTTTGCTGTTGTTGTTGCTGTTTTCCATTTACAACCTTATTTTATAGTTTACTTGTTCAGCATATGATGAGCGGAAAATCAAAGGGAAGAAAAAAGAGATTTGTAGCAGTGCAAAGTAATGCTAAGTTGTCTCAATAGTTTAGAACTCAACTAAATTAGTAAAGCGGCATACTTTAAAAGAAGGTAGAAAGACAATATTAGCTAAGAAGTAGTGGTAAACCAAATAAAAGTATATCCAAGATAGTAGTACAAAATGAGGATTCGTTCAGACTAAATTCCAAATTCCTACTAGTTTAAATGTCCAGAGTATTTGACATTCTTGCTTATACATTAAGAACAACTGTTGATTACTTTTTTAGAAAGTTAAATTTAATTACCTCTCATGTGATTACCGGCCTGTCAATCAGAGAATTCATTCTTTCTTCTCTCTTTCAGATTGATGCACATAGCATCTCATCTGTTCAGATATGAACTTACCAACTATTAAACATCATTATAAATAAAACTAAACAGAACTTATCTGAAACTATTATTGACTGGTTTAGACGGAATTATAATCTACCACAGAGCCCAAGTTTTATACCTACATCAGTGGAGTATGGATAATTAATTTAAGTGTTAGTTCAGCCCTGAATACATACACACATGTGCACCTCAAAGTTAGTAACTCATAAGCACTAACATTCAGCCATAAAATTTTTTGTCACTAATCTATTTACACAACCTCGCCTGGTTAACTAGTTTACTAGTTACTAGCCGGTCCTAAGCCCGGGTAAAGAGGGAAGGTTGGGCATAGGGCTAGCAACCCTACCCCGTAAAACAAATCTAACCGCTAAAGAAACTTCAAAGCACAAACAAAATATAAAAAATGAAAACAAACTTATTCCCCGCTGGAATCGGAGAGGCGAAATGACGCCAGTTGGTGAAAGCCTTCGGGAAGCCAATTGGCCGATGTGTCTTCTCTCGATGAAAGCGAAAGTAAACGTGGGGACATGGAATGTCCGCACGATGTTTGAACCCAGTAAGGCAGCCCAGATTGCAAGGGAGATGAGAAGGTATAACATCGAAGTGCTTGGGATTTGCGAAAGCAGATGGAATGGGAGTGGACTCTCCAAACTGTCAACTGGAGAATCAATAATCTACTCCGGTCACCCAGACGCCAACCACGAGCACACTGAGGGAGTGGCTATCATGATGTCCTCAAGAGCATCGAAGGCTCTCATGCAGTGGGAACCAATCTCCTCCAGGATCATGACAGCAAGATTCAACTCAAAAGGAAGAAAGGTCACAATCATACAATGTTATGCACCTACAAATAATGCAGAGCAAGAGAAAAAGGAGGATTTCTACAGACAACTTCAATCAACACTGGACAAGACGTCAGTTGGCGATATCAAAATTCTGATGGGCGACATGAATGCCAAACTGGGAGGGGACAACACGGGAAGAGAACTAACCATGGGTCGAGAGGCACTAGGTGAAATGAATGAGAATGGAGAATTGTTTGCAGAATTCTGCGCATTCAACGATTTGGTGATTGGAGGCAGTGTGTTCAGGCACAAAGATATCCACAAAGCGACATGGATTTCACCAGATGGACACACTAAAAATCAAATCGACTTTATCTCAATCTCAAGAAAATGGAGACGCAGTCTACTTAACACAAGGTCAAGAAGAGGAGCAGATGTAGGTTCAGACCACTACCTAGTGCAAGGAACCTTCCAAATCAAGTTAAAAGCCTTCAAGGAAGCTGGTGATAGACCTCAATTCAAGTACAACACTCGGAAACTGAAGGATGAAACTACAAAGGAGATCTTCAAGGCAGCCATCAAGACAAAATGGGAGACATCGAGCAACATCCCTGAAGAAACCTGTGTGGAAGAACATTGGAAGTCTTTGAAAGCTATGTGGAAAGAAACCTGCACAACAGTATTAGGAAGGAAGAAGAAAGAAGACAAGGAATGGATCTCGACGGATACCTGGAAGCTGATAGAGGAGAGGAGGATGGTGAAGCAGAAGATAAACCAGTGCAAGGATGCTCAACGACAAGAGGAACTGAGCACAATGTATAAAACACTGGACAAAGAAGTGAAGAAGAGTGCACGCAAAGACAAAAGACACTTCTACGAAACACTGGCAAGTGAAGCAGAACAGGCTGCAGGTAAGAGAGACCTGACGACATTGTATCAAATAACCAGGTTGCTGTCAGGGAAGAGACCAACACAGATGAAACCAATAAAAGATGAAGAAGGAAATTTAATTACAAAAGAAGAGAAACAGAGGAAACGATGGGCCGACCACTTCAAGAAGCTCTTGAATCGACCACCACCTGCACTTCGTCCAGAAATACCACCTGCAGCCGCTGAACTACAAGTGAACATTAATCCCCCAACGAAAATGGAAGTCCTGAACGCCATAAAGCTACTGAAATGTGGGAAAGCAGCAGGACCAGATGGAATACCGCCAGAAGCACTGAAAACAGATGCAGAGACAACAGCGGCCATGCTCACACCACTATTGCAGAAGGTGTGGAAGGAAGAGAAGGTACCTGACGATTGGAAGAAGGGTTACCTTGTCAAACTGCCGAAGAAGGGAGACCTCAGTGCTTGCAAGAACTGGCGCGGAATCACTCTCCTGTCCACCCCAAGTAAAATATTAAGCCGCATCATCCTGGAGAGGCTAAGGGATGCACTGGATTCAAAACTACGACCGGAACAGGCAGGCTTCAGGAAGTACAAATCATGTGCAGACCAAATTGCAACGCTTCGCATCATCATAGAACAGAGCATAGAATGGCAATCACCTCTCCACCTCAACTTCATCGACTTTGAGAAGGCCTTTGACAGCGTCGACCGAGAAGTAATTTGGAAACTGCTTCAATACTACGGAGTGCCGCAAACCTTTATCCGCCTCATTCAACAACTATATGAAGATGCCACATGCCAAGTAATCCACAATGGGAAGCTCAGTGATGCCTTTGAAGTGAAGACAGGAGTGAAACAAGGTTGCCTACTATCCCCCATGATATTCTTGATTGTGGTGGACTGGATCATGCAGCAAACAGTAGGCAGCGAGAAGAGGGGGATACACTGGACGACGGAAAAGAACCTAGAAGACTTGGATTTCGCCGATGACTTATGCCTAATGTCACATAAACTTGAAGATCTGCAGGCAAAAACTAACAAGTTGATAGAAGAGGCAGCGAAGACGGGACTTCAGGTGAATATAGAGAAGACAGAAGTGATGAAGATACCGCACCACCACCATCAACAACAACAAACTCCAATCACTGTCAACGGGAGAAACTTAAAGGAAGTAACCTCCTTCACTTATCTAGGAAGCACTGTTTCAACTACAGGCGGGACGGACGAGGACGTCAAAGTCAGAATCGGAAAAGCAAGACAGGCGTTCATTAGCCTGAAACCAGTGTGGAGATCTTCTGCACTCAGCATGCGGAACAAGATACGGATTTTCAACACCAACGTCAAGTCAGTGCTCTTGTATGGCTCAGAGACTTGGCGCGTCACGAAAGGTATTTCCAATAAACTACAGACATTCATCAACAACTGCTTACGCTCGCTGCTGAAGATCAGATGGCCAGAAAAAATAAGCAACAAGGAACTCTGGGAACGAACCAACCAAGAACCTATCACGCAACAAATATGCAGGAAGAAGTGGAGATGGATTGGCCATGCACTGAGAAGGCCGACTGAGGACATCACGCGTCAGGCCCTCGAGTGGAATCCCCATGGGAAGCGACGAGTTGGACGTCCAAGGGTGACATGGAGGAGGTCGTGCGAGCAGGAAATGAGAGCTTCTGGGCTGTCGTGGGACCAGGTTCAAAAGATCTCAGAGAACAGAGGTCACTGGAGGCGTGCTACTGAAGCCCTATGTTCCACTAGGAACCCAAGGGACTAATAATAAAATAATAATCTATTTACACATATTCATTGATATCAATGGCTAGAGTTTAATCATTGTAATTTTCATGGGTAGGCAACCGAAAAAGTAAAGCATACCTCAGTACAGAATCGTACATCTCACTCATTCAGGAAAATAACCAATAGGACATTAGAGATAGAAATCTTATGGGAATGATAATAGTTTTTATACTGAGTGGTGATTGAAGGTGAAATAAAATTTTGGACCACAGCCGGATTCGAATCAGCAACCACCGGGTTTCCGGTCCGATGCTCTACCAATTGATGATAATAGTTTTACATGGAATCGATGGGTATTCACAGTTGCTAATATCCAGATTACATACGTGTAACTAGAAAGACTTGAGGCATCGAAAAGTTATGACAAATTGAAATGAAGTCTACCAAACTTAAAACGTTAAAAATATTGTAAGCTGTTAGACATTTTCACATTGAAGATGGAATAAGACCATTTAGAAGTCATTACCAACGATATTACATCAATTAACCGGAAAATGTCGAAGCAGAAAATATAGATTAAGATAAAGCCATTTCAACAATAACTTACGTGGTTGACACGCTGCTGCCAAAACATTCTCCCAATCTCTTTGACACTGATCTTCATCTAAGATATAATGGCATGCAGCCTGTAATGCCTCGTAATCACGCCAACGTGGATAGAAGTTAGCTTCACAATTTTGAAGACTTTCTGCAAGTGCATGCCGTAAACAATTTTCTCGATCAAATACTCCCCAACAAGCCTAAATAAATAAACATTACAGTAACATAATGCTAATATATATCCCAAATTAGGTATTATCCATATTGGATTACATGTTCACTATACTCAACAAACGAGAGATAATCTGTTTATTATAAATCTTTATGATCCTGAATGAGTTATATGACGGCAAAACTTCCATTTCTAGTAAATTTATTTCATTATCTTTCGTATTTTCACCAAATAAGGTAGATTGTTTGAGAAAAGAACTGACTACGAGAAACAATCAACGATAGGATTCTTTCTCTCCGCATTTTTTCCAGAAGCCAGGCAGTTCAAGAAATAGAGACGATGATATAGGGGTTAGGAGATTTATTGGTTCAAGTAAAAAAAGATGCAGAATGTAACATAGCTATTGTAAGTGAAAACGTATTCAGCCTTTTGTGATAGATGAACAATAAATATCATACTAAAACACGAGTGAATCAGAAATTTATGAGCAGCATTGAGAGGTAAACAGGAAAAACACAAACCACAACGTAACTTCGATGAGAAAAGCAAAAAAAAATATCTGAGCATGGCAATCCCTTCGCCGAGAGAATTAGCCAGGTGTAACTAACATCTAATGGAGAATTGAAACGGTAGTCATCAAACAGTAAATAAGGCCATTCAACTAACTTTTGTGTCAATTCACTATGTACTGATTCAATAAATACCATGTATCGATCTTAATTTACATGAAATATCTTCTATATCAGTAGTAGTTCATTTAAAGACCAAAGACTAAGTTAGAGGTTAGTCGTTTTGTCTTCTTTATAATAATCATCTTTGCACAGTTGGCCAACTGTCACTATTCAAGTAGACACTATAGAGCGGAATAGATTACTTAAGGATTATATTTTTCGTCACTTTACTCTAGTATTTATTTAATTGGCATTCACATTGGTATTTTATTAGTTAGAAGCCTGCGCAATAACTTTTAACTGAATGAAGGGGTGGCCTTAATCAATTCTGTGCAGTATGCTTTTATAACACGTAACTATTATCAATACAACTTATAATGAAGATGTTTGTCTGTTTTACATGGAGTTAACTTTCATATTTCGTAAATTTGATCATCAAGTGGTTTGATAGAAGTTTCGTTGACTGCGGAGATAAAACACACAGTCAGTAGTAATTTGATCACAAATATTACTATCAATAAGTGGAGTTTCAAGAATGAAATAAAAAAGACTGTGGTGTCTTCAAAAAGGGGAATCGAGACTTAAGAGATAAAAAAGATACCTCCATTTGAACATAAAAGCATAATGAATGAAGGAATGAATAAATGTCGAATTTTTTGGTCGTAATACTTTAACCTGCCATCTTAAAGATTTTTGTATATGAAATATTACAGAAAACTCAACAGATACTACAATGCGCATCGTATCATCATCAATGTAAACGCCAGTGAAGATGAACCCCACTGACAATAGTTCTGTAGCTAAGTAGATTCGCATTGATCAAAATTTTGGGCATTCATCTATTAAAAGCATGTCATCGATCATTTGTCAATGAGAGAAAAACTCGAAAATGGTTTGCATTACGGATTGACGTCAGCTGGAGAACCAGTGAAGATCTGAGAGAATCAGACAACCGTTTTCTTTACTCAGGACTTCTCAGTAGTGTGCACACATGAACCCGTGAGAGATCAAGTCCAGGACCATTAGTTTGGTGGTAAGCACGTTACCACCATCGAGTCATTCAGTTAGAACCTAATATGACCAATAAATAATAAAGAATTTGGATAATAATTGTACTAAATTGTGAACTGACAGAAGGTAGAAAGTATGGGCCGGTGGACAATAACCCACAGTAAGGTGAAAATTAGTTATGTTATTATCCAAAAAAGCCTGGTTATTTAGACTTGTTAGACTCCTAAAAACACAATATTTTTTGAGAACGTTTGACTTGCATGTGTTTTAAAAATATTAAAAAAATTTGGCAAGCTAACCTGTAGAACACTGTCCAACAGACAATCACCTGAAGTTCGATTCCAAAGAGCAAACAAACGATTTGATTGTTTCTGTCCAGGAATGAACCACCAATTGATTGCTTTCGCATCATCTTCTAACTCTAAGGTGAAGGACAGCCAGAAGCAATAAGCATAATTTACTGAAACGGTCAATCAATTATTTCTGATTTGAAAAGACGACTTAGCTAGTCATTCACTTTCAAAAAAACTGCCCTAGTGACTTAGTGGATAACGCCTGGGCATTTGAAGCGATGGGTACTGGATTCGAGTCCCAGCAAGAACAACATCACTGGCTGGTGTGTGGGTATATCCAGCTGACGAGCACCAAATAGTACGAAACGCGAGTCCTGGACTCCACTGTTAATCATCAAACGGACATATAATAAAATCATTTAAATGAGGAAAAATTACCTGAAATAACACAGACATTTCGACAAATCAGTTAGTTACCGAAAAACCTATTTCACTTAATAGATATGTATATTTTAGCGCTTTGTATATTATTATATAGAGAAAATAGATACTTACAGTTTAATATACAGACGATCGAAATGAGTTGCTTTTTGAGCCTGAATTTTGCTCGATAAAAGCTTCAACGTCATCCCTAGACGTTTCACTTCTTAGGGTTGCACTGATGGCATTGCAGAGTACAAATTAATCTGAACAGTTTTAAAATACTTTAAATAGCACTAATTTTGAAAGATCCCATTAAGACTTAATCAGATTAATTGGCATAATTGAATGAAAAGTGTAACGAGATACACCTAAACAGATTAATACGAATGAAAATGTATCATTTCCAGGTATTTATCTGTAAATAAGCTTATCTGAAACATATTACTGAAATCGGATGGATTTCACTGTGAATACATGGGTCCAGATTTAGAAATCTTTACAAACAGATATAGTATGCGGTACACAGGTTCAGAATAAACTACTGTATAAGCTAAGTTTACACATAATTCAAGTATTTCACTAGAAAACCAAGCTCCATCATTAATGCAGCTTCATTCCGAAGGTGTTTAATGATGAGAACTATCAGTCTAATATCCTCATAAAAAGACAACGTGATTTAAAAACTGTATTCTCCAATCTAATTGCAACAAGCATGTTAGTGATGAATTCATTTACTCAATCAGTATTGACTCTCAAATTTAGATCTTGATTCATACTTCTGTTCAGTGTTCACCTTTTTAAAATTTAGAAAAAGCGAATGTCACTCTAATAACGTACTGATGGGCACCTCATTGGAATACGCTTCTATGTTTGCGACGCGACACTTCAAATAACCACATCAAGATCGCGGGCTTCCAGAAAATTAAGGGAGAATTTACTCACAAGTAGTACAAAGTCATGAAAAGAGAACAAGAAGGAATGAAACAATAGTGAAATCGGCACAACAACCAAAATGAAGATAATGTGTGGGTACAGCTGCGCCAATGTGGTCGACTATCACCCATTTCACCCAAAGTCTCTAAACACATACTCCAGTCGTTACATGCACCACAATCACCAGCTCTACATTTCCCTACACGACACATACCAACACTCAGACGTATCACCGAATAACGCCATGTCTCGTCTTCACTACCCTATTTCCAGACTGAACCTAATTTACATAACATCACAAGACGAGGCATACGATGAATAGGCATGCGTAACACGTGTCTCAACCACCTCAGTCAATGAAGGTTTAAAACCTCATTGACTAACTTTTCTGTACTACCTCAAACTCGACATCTGACTTCTGGGTTAATCATGTAGTGACACCACTGCACACGGCCTACGAATGTAACAGTGGTCAAACACCTGAAGTATTCTCATGTCTTCTACCTTTAGTGATCATGTGTCGCAGTCATGTAGTAGAACGGAGCGAACTGCAGTCCAGTACACTTGACCTTCAATAGGCAATCAGATGTTACGGCGGATCCGTAAATGACGTGAGTTGGTAAAATCGTGTCTTTATTGGGATCATCTGAAATAACTGCAATTTGGCAGATTGATTTTATTGATACTAGATGACAAAAGGCGAAATGGAAACCTGGGTTGCGGCAGGATTTAACCCAGCAGCCTTTGGATTACCGGCCCGGTACTCCACCGACCAAGCTAGGAGACTCAGATGCTAAACCACGTCTCAACTTAACCTTAAGTTAGTTTATACTGTTGCTCACTAGATGGTAAATTAGTCAATCAGAAAGGAGAAAAGTGATGGTGAGACTAGATGATAACCAAGAAATATGCACTGTGTCAGATTTAAATACTCAGTGTAACAAAACTGACACTAGTCGTAAAATTTGGTTCTTAAGAAGTAGATCAGTTTAAGCTTTCACTAACATGCATCATAAGATGATGTTAACTAATAAAGGCAATGCGACAGAATAATTCATTAGATTGAAGTTCGATATTAGTTGAACCACTACAGATAAAGGCCTTTAATTAGTCATGGATTCGAGGCCCACTTCGCCAACTAGTATCACTAACCATTAAACAATAAGTACAGCTCATCATTCAGCACACCTGGTATTTGTTGTACTTTTGGAATCCTCAAATGTAAGTTAAACCAATACTGTATGATGCTGAACTTGATACTTTTGACTCATGGGGTAAAAGCACGCTACCATTGAGCTAATGGGCCTAGATTTAATAGCTGAGAGGCTTACCCCTGTTGAACTAAATTAAAGATAATAATGGGAACATACCATGAATTTGGAGAAAAAACCACGTGTGCGATTCCTACTAACCTGGTGATGATTTAGAGATAAAGTACTTACCCTGAAACACCCAATGGGTAATAACTGACAGTGAAAACTAATTCAGAAATTTTTTTAACCTTTATATTATCAAATTTACTAACCTGATTGGGCTTGCATGTCACATAATTCTGATAGCAGTAGTTGTTTCACTGGAGCAGGAAATTTTGTAATTGAATGAGGCAAAGCGAAAGTTCCCCATTCAGCAAAATAAGCACATGGAAAATCGCCTTTACGATGTTTTACTGTTTTGGCCAGTAGATCACGTAGTTCACCAGCAATGTGAGGACTCGCCTGGCATGGCATCCATTTACTTCTGCTAGTTTGAGTCTTGTTTATACTACCTGGAGTTCGATTGAAAAGTAACTGAAGTGCAGGATGGATTTGATTCCCTGTCAATGGACTGCTTAATTTACGGCTTCCCTGATTAGTTTTGCCCTGAGTTTGTACATCTTGAATTGGATTATTTAGTGCATTGTTCCGTGGATTAATATTATTAGTATTACAAACACTTGGAGTTGCAGCACTGGCTACAGTGTTAGCTGTAGCACAGGAAGTAGTAGTGGTACTATAGGCAGTAACGACTGTAGTAGCACTAGGAGTAATACTCGATGAGTTCACAAGTAACGAAAAATGCTTGGAACCAGAACCGATAGATATAGCACTACTGGTGGCATGTAAACCGATTAAAGCAATAAATAAGTTAATTAGATCTGTACGACAAAATCGAAGCGCCAAATCCACCAGTGTCCAACCGGAACGAAATTTATATCCAATAGGTGAGGATGCATAGTCCAGATTACTGGAAATTAATCCACTATCAGAACTTACGATTGTTGCTCTTTGAGGAAGGCAACTGCTGTCATCAGATAGAAGACTCAGCTTTATATCATCAGTTTGTCTTGAAGAATAGTCGTTATTTGATAAGCCTGTTGGCACATCACAGATGGTTGTCGATTGGAAGTGTGAATTCAGATAACGGCACTCCTGTGAAAAAGAATGCAGATAGGAAAATTCTTCACTATTCATTAAATAAATAAACTGAACAACTATTTTCCGGCTAAAACTAAAACCTTGATAATTTACGCATCACATTTCATATACATAGGTAAGTAAACGGCTTCATAACAAGGCTATGCAGTTATTTGGAGCTACAAATGAGTCCTTTTACATGCAAGTAGATTGCCCCTATGTTTCCCGTATGTATATAAGTATACATCTTTTGCTCTCCAACAAATAGACATAAACAGTATAAAAGTTGGCAGTACTTCATCCGAGAGGTCTAAAATCACCTACATGGATCAGACCAACAGTCAAAAACTAGACGGGTTGACCTCATATTTGACTTACAATCGATAACGCTAAACTCTATGTTTTACTCATGCTCTCTATTTTTACACTGTTGAAAAAAGTAAAAAAAAACAATGAATTTGCTGCTCCGGTTCTGGGAAACTCCTTGTCTATTGTCTGTGGTGATTTTAACTCATGTGACTACAGTTTTCTATTATCATTGGGTTATAAAAATATGGTTAACTTTTCCACTCGTCTTGACAACACTCTAGACTGCATTTACAAATGAACCTGGCATATATGAAGCCTATAAACGGGCTCCACTGCTAAATTCCGACCACTGTATTGTTCGTGTTTTGCCTAAAGTGTACGGAAAATTGTATCAGAAAGCTTTTGTATACCTTTCAAGGAAATTTCAATACAGATGCTATTCTCAAGAAAATATATTATGTTTGAGAAGCATCCTTATAGAAACGGACTGGGATATATTTGCTGATGAAGTTTTAGACAACACTATTACCAATATCACAAGCTATCTCAGATTCTGTCTTGATATCTGCTGCCCTGCTGAAACAATTTACATGAGATTTGACAGACTTTTCCTCTCCTCATCTTAGGAGGCTTCGGGGGGAAAAGAAAAGGTTGTATAAGGTGAGAGATCACCCTAGCGTTGAAAGGCTTAACTGCCTAATTAAGTCTGAGATACAACGTCTGAATACTATATACAACAAGAAGTTCTTTTCATGTAAGAACTCTTCAAATATGTGGAAATTATTTAAAGAGCTTACTGGTAAAAAACAGATGACAAAACAAACTCATTCGGATGTCTGTGCGTTAAACAAGTCATTTATACGTCGGCAAGCTGATTTCACCATTCCTAATGTCCCAAATCAAGTGGATAGCTGCTTTCCAGGTTTCAATAGAAACGATGTATTTAAATGTCTAAAGTCCTTGAATCCCTCTGAAAGCTTAGGTCCTGATGGTGTTTCTAGTATAATATTTAGAAAATGTGCAGATATTTTGTCATCCACTTACAGATATCTTCAATGTATCGTTCTCTAAAAACATATTACCCACTGCTTGGAAGCAGATAAAAATTGTACCTGTGCCTAAGCCATCTTCTGGATCAGATGTTACTTTTCGACCCATCGCTATAACTTCCCCTTTTCTGAAGACAATGGAGAAATTACTTCTCCTTGTGATTGAGCCTTCATTGATGGCCTTCAGAGATCCAAAACAGTTTGCTTACAAACACTGGAGGAGTACTTTAGATGCAGCTAGTGTCTTGTATCATAACATTGTTTCTAGTCTCGACAAAGGTGTTAAGTATGTCCGTTGTGCCCTTTTGGATTACTCATCAGCCTTTGACTCTGTTCCTAGACCACTTTTGTTAAATAAGCTTGCCATAGCTCACACTGATCCATGAGTTACAAAATGGCTGCATTCTTATTTTTCTGAAAGGAAACAGTACACTATTCATAAAGGGATGCACACCACTTCATTGCTTACTGAAGCTGGTGTGCCTCAAGGTGCTGTACTTTCTCCTTTTCTGTTTTCCTTTTTTTGCACGATTTGCCTTATTCTGTTGAAACTAATTTTATCAAGTATGCTGACGACCTGACGATTTCTATTCCAGTAAACTCTTCTTTGGATTGCTCGAAATTAAATGAATTCTTGTCTGAAGTTGGCAAATGGTCTCTCTCAAATGGTCTCAAACTAAACCCCTCTAAATGTCAGACCGTTAATTTTAGCCTCAGGCGTAAACAAGACTTATGTGAGCTGCTTAAATCTCATGACACCTGCTGCATCAATGGTATTTCTGCAGAAAGTAAATCGAGTGTGAACTATCTTGGGTTGCATTTTACTTCTGACCTTTGTTGGTCGTCCCATATTTTATTGACTTGCAGAAAAATCTTTCGTTTAACTTATTACTCGAAGAAATTGAGGCTTTCTGGTATAACTCAACTGCTTCTTTTACAATTTATTAATTCCTGCATTTTACCTATTCTTCTATATTGTTCTCCATTAATCTTTCCTGGTCTTCTTAAAAAGGACTATGTTATGTTGCGTAGGGCTTTGAAGGCCGTTAGCAGGGTGAGTGGTGTGTCTCTGGCTCAACTGATTAACACTGTAGTTGGCCGACATATAAATTCCTGCAAGCTACTAGCTACAGAAATTTTAACTGACAGTGAGCATCCACTTCATTTACAGCTCTCTCCATGTATCTCCTCAGGGAGGACAAGGAGAAACTACATAAGACTGTATGCTCGTACAGCTAAGTATAAGAATTCGACTGTACCTTACCTTGCACGCATATTTTGTGAGGAAAAAAGTGTTAGAACAGAAATCACACATCACCTTTTTAACAGTTAAAAATCTCATTTCAATAATTCAACTTACAATGCAAAATTTTCTCGTTTTTAATATTCTTTACATTACTTAAATTTTTATAATAAAACAATTCGAAAGGCTGCAAAGGAGTATGTATATACTTATATTTTGTTGTTACTGCAATATATATTACGCTGAGAACTCCAAATTGTACCACAAATTGTTTGGAATAAAGTGAATTATTATTATTAATTATTAATACCGACTTTTGAAGTGAATTAATTGAATGGTATGAGTATTTACTGGTGTGTTGATATATAATTATTTTACCTGAAAAAAATGTTGGTATAACCGGATATTAGGAATTCCGCATCGCTCATACTATTGACCCGAATTGAACGATTTGCGATAACATATCAACGTTGGTCATAGGAAATAGAAGATATTCTTACATTCGTTGTTAAGAAATCATTAACTGTCTACTGACCCTCGCTTTACACATTGCATACCTCGATATTATCAATATTTTCCTTATGATCTTATTTGTTTTGGTCTTAACTAGCAAACAGGTTCAGAATATGTGCTTTTTTCTATTTAGAATGCATCAGTTGGGTATACCTGTACTTAGTTTTCTCCTCCAGATTCGGACCAAAGGTCCACCGATTAAAAAACCAGGGTGTCATCTATCAAAGTAGTGAGTCACAAGTCCCACCTCGTGTGCGAAAGTTATTAATTGCTGTTTACAAACTTTCGATAATCCATGTACTAGCAACGAAGACAAGGAGTTAAAGTTTTTAGATAACATCTAGTACCTGTTTCACTAGAGGTTGTTCTAACGACTCAGTGGCCTGGTATATAAAGCACTAACTTTTAATGCATTGTATGCTGGATTCCAGTTTCAGCGTGGAGGTAATCACTACGATGAAGGTACATTTAGCCAATGCATACGGAAAAAGGAAAAAAACGATCATTTTTGACCCTACTGTTATCCAATACCAGAGAATTAACTCGATACAACTTATGTATTCTAATCATAGTCATGTCCATTTTGCCATAGAGGACAAACGAACGAAAAAGAAATGTAAGCATTGAGATTAGTATTTTTCAATCCGAAAAGTTAATCATGGTAAGATGGTACATACATAACTTTCATTTGATTAAGATAATGAAGCATCAGACTTACATGTCACCAATATTTACAAGTTAGAACAGACCAAACTAATCATTCGTAAATTTCGATATATTTAGCCTATAAAACTAACTTATTTGCTTCACCTAGATCTCTACTTACAGCTGGCTTCAATGAAATCATATGATCTGGAAACGGTGGACAAGTTATGATGTACAAGGATGGAGTTGATCGTTTTTACAAGTTCTTCACTCTCACCATTCTACTATTACAAACCACACACTGTTTGTCACAGAAATGTAATCACAAACGACAATATTTAGTCTTAAGGAGCAGTTCTTGGCGTATATTTTACATGGAATTTTAAAAAAAAAAGTGAAATAAAATTTTGTTACGCTGTTCACCGAAAAGCTAACAGATAAGCAACACTGAATGTTAGTGCACTTTTGTAGGGCTTCATCCCAACAACAAGGGACACAATATCTGTGGAAAGTCAAAAAGACATCTAGTCCTTTCTAAGTACCGCTGTGCTGAGGAATACGGAACTGCCGATCATCTGTGAAAAAAAAGATTAGTATATCAGTTCAGTGCTACCTTAACATCTGATTCCTACCGAAAAACTGACTGGCAAAAGATCGAGAAGATCAAGTTACCACATTTCCCGACAGTGTGAGGAAGGATAATCGAAATGCACGCAGCAACCTTGTGCATATTCGTACAGTAGGCAATGAGCCACACATATTGTGTAAAGGCTAGTGATACTATCTGGATGCCCAGACCTCGGTAGGTGGGGCGGGGTTCGAACCCGCGACCCGATGGTTAGAAGTCATCTCTCTAAACCAATGAGCCACAGATCTGAGGACAATATCGCACAACTGAAAGTGGCTTACAATAATGTTTGGTATCTTTACACCACAAGACTTAACTTTTCAACTATTATTATATTTATATAACCTTGCGATATCCTATATCCTACACTTTTCAGACGCATAGCTATATTTCCGTATAAAGCAAACTACCCTAGTTTTCCGTTTTCCTTAGCTTAACGTAGCATTCTTTTCGAGCAACGCAGTTAAGAAGCAACAAACAACTGTTGGATTTAAGTGTTAAACAATCCTAGTCTGTATTCTGATATCAGCTATCAATCAGAACGCTTCTTTGAATTTAATCTGATTTTTAGTTTACGCACCGAAAAAAATAAACTGGTGTAGACAACTTACCTTAAATGGTTGTGAAAGCTATTATTATGTTGATAAAAGATATTTTGTACTATCTCCATTTGGATTTCTAGTATAATAAGCATTAGAAATAGATGATGATGAGCAAAAGAAGAGTCCTTATTGCAAACATGTAACTATGGTAAACTTCAAACAATCAGATGAGTTATTGCATCTGTCTAATAAACTTGTTTCACCCACAATGCTCGATGACGGTGAAAACTCTCAAAGTAGTGGCAATGACTCCACTCATACTGATTTTATCAGTGTATGACGCGATGTAAGCCCTTAATAGCAGCACTAAACACCTTTCAAAAACATATATGATAATCAGTTGCACACAAACACTTTTTGTACTTTGATTGACTTGTGAAGACTATTTAAAAAGAAAGGAGCTGTTGCTCATTGGTTCAGGGTCACGGGTTTAAGCCCCGCTCCACCTACCGAGATTTGGGAAGCCAGGTAGTATCGTTAGGCCTCCCGCAATAGGTGTGACTCATCGCTTACTGCACAAACGTGCACTTGGTAGCTGAATAGATGTGTACCTAGTATTTACGTCGTAAACATTACTTATGAAGATATAGAAATCATGATACGACTGCCAGGTGTAGAAGAAAAAGTTACTTTGCATAAAGAGCGAAGCCTAAGAATTGTTGTTTGAACATATGGTTTTACCGCTTCAAATAAAAATTATGCTCATGTAAAACAGTATACGGCAATGGGATGAAAATGATTTCAATTGACTCCGATTGTTTACATTATCCGTTCTAATAATGCTTCAATCATAATGCCTAGTGTCAAATCATATCAATTTTGACCTAAAACGTTTGCATAGGAAAAATAAAAACATTTCTAGTCCATCAAACGAAACCGAAAATTAACTGGAGGAAAGCCAGTTTCACTTACAAAATGTTATCTTCATTAACTACTGACACTAATGATATACGCGACACAGTTGAAAGAAAACCATAGTAATAAACCTTTAGTGAGTGTTTAAGTGAAATATTCCTTAGAGAGGAGGAGAAATATGAGAAATGGGGATATATATATATATATATATATATATATATATATATATATATGTACTTACGTGTTTTGTTAGCTTTCTTTCTATTCGACCATTAGCCAGTATATAACGTTCGATTGGTGCCACCTCACCACTTGCTACAGCAACACAGGCTGACAACCATAGTCTGTCTCGAGAAGTTAACGAAGTATTCGTAAGATTTGATTTTGCACGTCGAGTAACAACATTTGAACTAGATGAATTAGATGAAGCACATGTTGCATTATAATCTTTATTATCAGTCTCATTACAAACATTTGCACAAATTGGTGGTGGAGGTGCAAAACACATTGTACAATGTTTACTTTTAGGCCAATTTTCATATGTGCATTCAATACATGCCCATTTCCCAGATGGTGATAAAGATGTTAGTGAATGAGGAGGATGAAGTGGAGGGGGAGGAGGAGACAACCAGGTTGAAGAAGCCTGCTTAGAAACCTCGACGTCCAGAACTGGTGAATCATACAGAACTTGAAAGCATTGTTCACACTTAAAGTTTTGTCTCTGATTGAGGTAAGTACATGATTGGCATTTTATCATCTGTGTAGCATCGAATGCAGCTTCAACACGACATTCATCGATCTTCTCTGAATCTTTAGACGATAGATGTAAACGCTGCATTTCATCTTCAATAAGGGTTGGACTTCTCGGTGTACCACATAGAGTACATTTAAATGCTGCTGGCCAGTTTTCATATGTGCATACTGCACATGGCCATTTGGCTCCGGTATTCATGTCTGCAAATTTTTAACGTGAAAAATTATCATACCTTGAATTTACACTTTCCAAACATTTAATGGAAAGATAGTAAATAAATGCATGTGAATATAATGGTAGATACAAAAGATAACTTGGTGAAGACTGTAGAAAACGTCTAGTTCACCAATTAAGACATATTAGGGTTATGATGAACACTGAATTTTTCAGAAATCGTTCTCGCAGATTAACTAATAAATTCTCAAGGTGTTTTTTTAAATGTAATTACATTTTACAACAATTTTTCTCATCACCCAGCAAACTTTTTAACCATACGCCAAGTCTAAAATTTAACGGCCTCGTATTGTTTTCAACCAACTTTGTTCCACATTAACCTAAAAAAGGGTATAGTCACTAGGTGATATTTTATCGATTTATGTTGATGACCAGATAACGCGCCATTTGTGTTTACATCCATCAATTTTCTTAGTCTGAAGAACTTCTTGATATCATTCGAAATCAAGCGTAATAAAAGTGATCCAAATTATCAACAATTAACACCATACAACCATCTTTTATCGCACGGCGCCATGTTGTGCATTGACCACCTCTCAGCTTCTTCCAACCAGTTCTGGGGCACGTGGACAGTGAACGGTGTAATCGCTGGAATAACAGTTGAGACACATGTTCAAGCCACCGAGGCCGATACTTTAATGGATGACGATCCCCATCGTCATAAAATACACCGCCTCGTCACATTATTGCTTACATGGTGTTTCCATTGGGTGCGAGCAATCCAACTATCACGAGTTATGCCGAAGTTTCAATCAATAATATTGTCAACTAAGATATCCTTTTTGTGATTGAAAAGTTAGCTTGCTTTTCGCTTCACATACGAACAACCAGATAGAAAGCCTGAGAAACAAATTAAAATATCAAGACCTCTTTGTGTTAGTGACCAGTTTGTAGAGCACGAGTGACGCACATCGCACTAGAACGTTGGTTTGCCTCACTGGTCACATGAAAGGTCTAGTTTCTCAACAGTTGAAAATTCAGCTCTCCATGAATACAAAAGGCTTTCGCCAACTTACGCCACCTATGGCGCCGCCATGATATCCGATTGTCTGTTAAGGGTCGCGTGTATTGCACAGCAGTCCACTCTGTTCTACTGTATGGCTGTGAAACATGACCAGCGTTTGACCACCGTTGTCTTCGTAGTATAGGCCGTGTTCCGTGGTGTGACCAAGTGAGTAACGCAGAAGTCAGGAGTAGAGTTTTAGGGAGAAGACGTAATTCGGTTGAGGAGGTTGTGAACCTTCATCGACTGAGATGTTTGGGACACGTGTCACGTATGCCTAGTCGCCGATTGCCTCATCACGCAATGTTGGCCGAAGTAGGTTCAGGCTGGAAAAATGCTCGAGGCGGCCAGACTAAAAACATGGCACCAATGTATGAAGTCCTTGACTGTTGGTTTAAGCCATGTGAGGTGATGCAGACTAGGTGGTTGGGGTCTGCGAGACAAGAGGAACCAGTGGTTGGAGACTCTAGGTGATCACATAGCCCTCAACCAATGTCAGTGGCGCAGATGTATATATACATTATCCTCATCTTAACATTCTACCGAATCTCACCATTCTCTCACCCCTTATTTATGTCTTTTCGTACTTTATATTTCTTTTGACTGAATTTCTTTATCTTCATCTTCCACTTTACTGCCTTTTTACTTGATGTACTGATATGAACTGTGGCAACTCGGACCGTTACGCAGCAATGCCTGGTCCGATGTTGATACTGATGATGTCAGCATAAAATCAGAACTGGGTTACGTGATCATGGAAAAGATTAACAAACCCAGAAGGACGATTCGTCCGACTTGAATGCAAACAGTGTTATATCTCATCCTGAAGAACAAAATTTGCAGCTGCTATACTTTGTAACAGCACAAACAGAAAATAGATGGGTGCGAAGGAATAAAACAAAAAATATTATTAAGTGATAAAACAGTACTTAAGAGATCGACAGCTGAAATTCCGTGCTTCCTGACTACAATTTAGGTGACATTGATGTTCTGAAAGTTTTCAAACTTTAGAAAACGAGAAAATGAAGTGAACCCAATTCAGTAACCATGCTTATATGTTTTAGGAGTCTATCAAAAGGATGATACACATCCATAACAAGGTGTTAACGCTTCATTCGGTAAGACCTGTTGTACATTTTGACAAAGGTTTCGTGCACTGGAAGCCCATAATGCAAATGCTGATATAATTTAGAGAGGCTACAACCACAATTTGTGGTTTTAGATGACTAGTATCGGTCAAGAAAGGTGTTAAAGGAGCCATAAACGTGATAATATTGATAACTGTGGGAGATAATCGCGCTTTACGAAATAACAAAAGTTGTATTACCAAAAAATGTAAATATATCTTGAGATGAAAGTATCAAAGTCGACCAGGTCAATAGTTCGAATCAATCAGGGTATTTGTTTTACTTTTTCCTTAAATATATAGTGGGGACGCAAACTCATATTCCCCTTCGATTTTGCGACCAGGTCCTAAACTTTACATCATCATTACAGCTTTTCACTTGAGTAGCACACTTCTTATGCAGATGTTTACCGTGGAATTTAGGATTTCCAGAAATAAACCAGCAATTTATGTCCAAACCAAGTGTCTCTGTGCAATATTTATGCACAGTACTTAGACATCAGTATGAGCAGCCTGTCAATTTTACTCAGGTTGTTGGTGTCATAATCTTGGAGACAACTGTAGGAAATCTCCACTGCATACCACCTTACGGTCACAACCATGAGCATCTTTCGTACCCCACAATGAATAATCCATAGCCATTATCCTTTGAGGACTTACCACTCCCTTCAGGTTACTACATTATTCCCAACTTTCATGATCACCGCCAACATAAACACCTATTGACCGATAAGATTAACAGGTCCAAACAAGCTGAGTGCCGGGTACAGTTTGAGTTGCTCTCCAGGCCAGCGATTTATCAGATGAACATTTGGCTTTAGTGTTATAAACCGTAATTAACGCTTCAGAACTACGGAAAGAACTTCCTTTGTTTCCTTCTCAAGATCTTAGCATCTTCTCCAACAACCAACAACAATACTGAGTGTAAAGGAAACTAGTAGTTTGTGAACTCTCATGTCTAGCTCCTGAGAGTCAGTTGCTTTTCTTGATTTGCACTTCATCAGTGGTCACAAGAGTCTTCTGAGTTTACATCCTTAAAGCTGTTGAGGTGGGGGTTATCTAAAGGCTTTCTTTTGAAGTTTTCGACTGGTTTCTGTGAGGAAACAAAGGAAATGCCGGTGAGAAAAATCCTATACTTGCAGTTCCTGCCTTTATAGACACCTGCAAGTGACTATTAAATGTTATTCCAAAGAGTTTGCCTTAGGTGGAGCCTGTAGAGGATAGCAGAGGGGTGATGTGTACTTATGGAGAGTAAGTGTTACTCCTAATAACACGGATAGGGAATAGTCCACACTGTAGATACTGGGGTTGGATAACTGGGGGACGGGTGAGTATACGTTCAATTGCGACCATCATATACTGCTGGGAGTCCGTCTGTGCTCACCCATTTGTTGAGTATTTGTTTGAAGGTGTTAACTGAGTTGGGTGTGGCCACTTCTTTCGGTAATCGTTCCATAATGCACACACTTTGTGGGAGAACAATTTACATTTGATCGTGTTCTAAGACCTCTTGTGGTTCTCGTGACACTGTCATTCTTGGGCCGGTAATATCTCGTCGGGGTGGTTTAACTGATCGATAATCTTGTGGGTCTCCTCACTTCATTCGATAGCCCAGAGTGGCGAGTTCAGTTAGTTAAGGCGTTGTGCATATGCTTTACCTGTTATTCCCACAGGTGGTCCTGATGCTGTTCTCTTCAGCCTCGTGAGTGTTCGCTTTCAGTACAGGAGGGGCGACTTCACTGAATACCTCTACTTGCGGTCAAGTCCAAGCTTCTAATACCATGAGGAATAATATAGAGGATAGATCCCCGAGTTGCCTTCCTAGGAAGTGCATGATAGCTTTTGCTTTGACCGCCGTTCCGTTCCAGCTTGCTCTGATATCTGGTGTCGGAGAAATTTGGCCTAAAGTCCTCCGTGAACATTACGGCTATTGCACAACTACTGGAAACGTGACTAGTTTTCATTGCTTCCGGTGTTCAAAGATATCACCTTGTACTTTTGCAGGATGGGCCTTCAACTCCTGTTCTCGCGCTGTGGCAGGCTGACTGAATTCGGTTTCCCTCAGTGCAAAATCTGCTGTCTTTCAGGTACACTGCGAACCTGCTACGAGCGGTCCTATGATGCTCAGTTTTGTAGGTTTAGCCAGGATGGTGTTGTATTGGACGATATAAAGAGCTTTGGCTGGGTCCTGAAAGATAACGAGGACTGGTTGCTGGTTGTCTGGGGCTAGGTTCAGTCATCCTAAGCAGTCATCAAGCTTTTGGTACATGGCTGCCTGGTTCCGAACACATATTGGGCGGGATGGGTGCTTTTTCTGTCTAGGTAGTCCAAATAACATTTTCAACCAGGATTTCCAGGGCCTTAGATGGTATGGTTGGTAACACTGTAATCACATTCATTTTTCCAGTCTCCTGTCAGGAGTACTGCTGGATGGATAATGCTCTACCTTTCCCTGGAGAATCGGATCCGCAATGAGTGCGTTAATAGATTGCACGTGGGTACGCCTAGTGCATTGGCACAATTTCGTAGGAGTACGGGCTCCATATCATTGCAGCCCGGAAAGTTTCCTATTTGAGCATATATGGTTTCGTGAGCACATGGTTCGACAAAATCCTTACTTCCCTAAGTGTTGCATCACAGTTCTGGGGCTCTGCTTCTCTGCTGAGCGTTGGCGGAATCAGTGCTGCGTTGAGCTGCCGGTTAAGCCAGTCGCCCATCACTTCCATCACGACTACGCCACACAAGGCTACACCGTTCGGCCCTATGATAGAGCTAATTCATTCCTTCGTCGATTTCCGCTGAGACGTGAATCGAGATGGACATTTTGGTTTGTAGCTGAGCTGTTTAGCTAGGTTACTCTGATATTTGAACTTGTCTTTGTGCAGTTACCTTTTACTGAGAAATTTCACTTCCTTGCGGGATGTGCATCATGCATACGATGCCCTCATTTTTCCCCACTTGTCTGTGCGTCGTGTAGGTCAACCAAAAGCGTTTCAAAGTCAGTTGTCTTCCTACTTTCTCCGCACTTTGTTGACAGCGCTCCAGATCATATCTCTTATATGCATCCGATGTTCGTTCACTGAAAGAGAATACCTTCTCGCATCTATGTCACGTCCAGGATATCTTTTTTCATGACCTACTTGTTCACCTTCCGGTAACAGCGGACCACTCCAGGCTCAGTGGTTGGAATAGTAGATTGCTTATTTGATGCGGCGCATAGTGACACTATGACTGTTGACAGTTTCTCCACGGCTGCTGGGGGAAATCTAACCCAGCGTGATCACATTTGCTTAAGTGGGGTTGGACAGGCATGTCGTCCACGAAAACCTTATCTTTTGTCGTAGTGTAACCAAGTCACGATCCTCCCCTCCCATCAGGTCCTCGTCACATGTTTTCCCTGACACCCCGTTGGTTCTGTTCCCATAAAGTTGTTGTAAAGCCCCTAATTGAAGTATTTCCGTCGGCAACTTCCTTCCAGTCACGAGTCAAGAAACGGTGATTCGAAGTGGCCACAAGCTGCCAAGGTGGGTGTGAAAATCGCAGTTAGAACCCTTTCTTAATGTCCTATTGTGCACGGTCCGTTAAGAACTGCACGCGTCTGCTAATGGGATCCTCTCGGTATCTTGTCGTTGGTGTGGCGGAAGTGGATCAGTTCGTCAGCCAATTCATTTGTGACTGATACGGCGTGTAGTACTCTGGATGGCTGTCGTCCGTCTTCTCGTCCAGCGGACCTCAGTTTGTTTTTGCGGCATCATATGACTTTTCCTTTTTGACCTTTCACGTGATACCACGTCGTGTTGCTTTAGAGTCAAAGTGCGCAGCTGGAAACACGGGTATAGAAACGCTGTGTGAGCCAGCTTCGGTGGTGTACTCACGCTACTGCAGGCAAACTGTCTACTCCCATTTTGGCTTTAGCCATCTCCACCGCCTGATATCTTAAGGGTAACGATCAAAGTTTGTAGATCTTTCCCACCGTTTAGGCATTCCCTTTACCGCCATGGTTACGACCTTGTACAGGTCACTAAGGATGGATTGCCTTTCCTCTGCTCTAGTGTCCCGTCGTTTACCTGGCCTCAGCCTTATATTACCGAAGCCTGTGGTGTTTGATAGGCGTGACAACATAAGCACATCCTCCGTTTGCTCTGCTTTCATCAGAGAAGCGATAAGAGCTCTGCTTCCCCGGGGAACCGATACCGGTTTACTAAGTCGGGTTTCGTCCCTGATCGTTCACAGAAACCAGACCGTTCCTCCTCTTCGGACCGTCCCCTCTTTTTAAGGGCAAATCAGTTAGTGTTGGGAGGCTAAACAGGGTAATGAAGTGTGTTCTCTTTCTGAGAACCAGTATTTTTAGTCCACCACTTCCCAGATTGACCGAGTGGAATAAGACGAAGGTAATAACTATGCCGAATGCAGTGATACAGTAGAACTCAGTACCAATATGGCCATCTCCTCCGTTCACCCTGTTCTTTGCTGAGTCACGCAAATATCAAAAACAAAGGCCGACCTGTAACTACAATGACGGCAACCTTAGTTGATGAACTATCGGATATACGTACGTATGTGTGTAAAATTCCCATATGTATAAAAAAATTGCCTGCGTTGAAGACAGAATAACGCAAACTTATTGGCTGTTGAATCCTCCGACGAGGTCCCTTTGTCCACATCTAGACGCGAATCAAAAGCTGGGGCAAAAACATTTCTACCCCAAAGGCTGATGACCTTGAACGTTGATTACCATGTCCGGCCACTTCCTATCATTTTCTGGACTCATTTTAGACCAGTCATTCTCAACACAAACTGGTTCGTCAGGTTCATCCATTAACTCAGTTGGCGTGGGTTGTTTCGACGTAAAAGTGTGGGGCTTTTTGGGTGCCTCCCATGCCATGGAAACCGATCTTTTATTGTGATCAGTGATGAGGCTTCTTCTTACCTGTGTTCATAGTGTCCATGAGGCCTGACCTGTTTCTTTGGGTAGATCCTGAGAGCTAGCATCTCGTGGTGTCTAGGGAGGCACAGAGTTTCTTTTATTGCCGATGGATGAAAATGTATTTTTTTGCACTATGCATTCATGCACTGCATCCGCTGTTTTGAGTGTCCTGTGATAAATTTGTAGTATTGATGCCGTATACTCTCGTAGTCACTGTACGGCCATTTTACGGAAATGTTGCGCGCGAAAGCTGCTTGGGCGACTGACACCGATTCGTTGGAGGCACCAAGGTCGTCGGAAATTTCCCTCCATTTTACCACTGTGTGGTTTCTTTTTGGTGTACCGATGTCAGCTGCTGTGAAGGCGGGTAGGCTCATCCATCGACAACCATATCTTCCTTTTTTGTCGCTTTCCAGTCACATGGTCAGAGGCTCATTACTATCACCCCAACTACACGAGTTTAAGGGTGTTGGTAAGTGTTGCGTCTGAGGTGAGATTTATATGAAGATTTTGAACGCTAGGAGCATTGCCAGGCCTAACTCCTCTTCATAGATCACCTTTGTTCAGCTGCCGACCTCATTAGATGAGTTATCGAGAGTGACTCATACGCCATTGGCTTGAGATTCAAGCATTTTTCCGATTCTAAGCTCTGTGTCATCTGTGTGTGATCGTTGCATTAAGTGGTAAATAATACTGTCCCAGCAGGTGCTATATGAAGTGAATTTTCCCCATCTGAAAGTCTGTTAAATACAAAGGAAAAATTAAACCTTCTGTCTGACCAGTCTCTTTATCGCAAG